TCTCTCTCTCTCTCTCTCTCTCTCTCTCTCTCTCTCTCTCTCTCTCTCTCTCTCTCTCTCTCTCTCTCTCTCTCCCTCTGTGTGTGTGTGTGTGTCTCTGTGCAGGTCCTGTAATCTCAAACTATAAAAATCACCAGTATAATTACCACACCTGGATTGGGAGACTAGCTTCCTCCAGCCAATCATCCTTAGTTATTGCCCTATGTACTTACCCTTGACAAAAAAAATCACCCTTGATAACCAACATATATCTTACCCTTGACAAAGAAAAAATCACCCTTGAGAACATGTATCTGACATACAAACACAAAACCCGCTTCTAGTGTATGTACTGACCTACATAGGCCGCACCGTTTGGGCCGAACCGCTCAATGCTGCCTGACTATCCCAAGCAGTCTCGGTGCAACTGCAATTACGCATGACTGCTCCGACAAACAAACCATGAAATCTTTAGCGGTGTTTTTACGCGCAACAACGGCTACCTGAGAGCAGTACACCGTGCTATATCCAATGGCTGAAAGATGCGTTCCATGCTATTCAGTGGAACGCACCCGCTGAAAGCTGAGAGGGGTTCATTGGTGTTCAAATGCTTGGTCTGCAGCAAAGAAGTGAAGTTCTCAGTGAAGCATGGCACACACAGGCTGCCGCTCTGTACAGAGAACGCTCTTGCGTTCCCCCTTCTGTACATGCAAGTGCACACACGCATGCGTGCAGTTACACCCACCCACACAGACACACATGCATGGTTTCATGTACTGTCCTGCACTATCACCTATCTCTGTCCTCACTGATTCCTGCGCTACCACGCCCAAAAAAGTCCATATCTTGTTTCTTCCCTTGTTGCGAAACTTGCGACAGGCAAGGCAGATTTAACAGCTTCTCTGCCTTGTCTTTCCCACGGGGAGTGCACAGAGGATCGCTGATCACTCGTTTGACCATCTCGACTATTCCAGGAACGCTTGCGACCTCCACTTGCAGCTCCGCCGATCCTGTCGCCACGTAGTACAAAATCGCAACTGCATACTCGATGAGCGCTTCCGATTCGCGCCTCTGAATGACACTGGCAAGAATTTTGATCCCGCCTGCCTCTGCGACCTTAATTCGACCCTCTGGAATGGCCATCAAATTGTTAACAACAGAAAGCGCCTTGGCAGACAATGCGCTCCCAACGTGTTGCGCAAACTCTAGGGCAAGGCGAACCACATCTGCCACCAGCATCCTCTGTCGATTGAGGTGCTTGTAGGACAGCTTGGAGAGTGTCTTCAGTGCGTCCTTCTTTGCAGCAAGCGACGCCTCGTCCGAACCGAGAAGTTCGACGAGGGCTCGGATGCCGTTGACCTCCCCAATGACAATCTGACTCTCCTCGTCGAAGGAAAGGCTGTATAGTGCAGCCACTGCCATGTCCCTGATGCCCTCAGTCCGTGCTTCCGTCATCAGTCGAACTAAATGCTGTGCGCCACTCCCTCGGGCGATCCTACTCTTGTATCCAGCCTCGATCGAAACATTGAGAAGAGTTGCCTCTATATTTTCCACCAGCTCGTTCCAGTCCTTGTCGGTGTTCCAATCAGTAGTAGTTGATGTAAAAGTCAGCTTTTCCCTTTCCTGCGCCCTGTCCAAGAGGGCGCCCAATGCTTCAATTCCTCCCGACTCCCCAACCATTGTTCTTGTTTGCGCTATGTCTTTCGTCATCTTCCTCAACGCTCTCACAGCAGCCAGCTTCTGTCCCAGATCTGCCCTGCCGCTAGTCAATCTGTTAATCAGGACCTGAACCTCTCCCCTATCCGGCACTCTCAAGTCTTCGCTGCCTGGGCGCATATAGCTCTCCGACGGCGTGAAAGGAGAGCCCGGTGTGACAGAGGCTGGGGAATCCCCCGATCCGGAATAGCCATCACTTCGCCTTCCATCAGGAATCAAGAAAGCAAGGCGATTTGTTGTTGGTCTGTAAAGAGGGGCTGGATTTTTGCTTCTCACTGAGGCTGGAGCCGGTTTCCACGGAACAGCTGGAATACCCGATTGCTGCAGTGGAACAGGTCTGCTTCCAGGGGTTTGATTACCATTCAAGCTGCCATGGCGTTGATGCACGCTTCTATCAGGGGCGTCCAAACCAGCGGAGGAATGAGAGCCCACTGTCGGAGCAGCATGCCCCTGTTGAGCAGCTGGCACGGACGCTAGCTCCGGTGCTGCTGCAGCTCCGTCTCGGTTCATTCTCCGGTCATCTGGAATCACTGAGCTGTTGCGAACTGCTCCACCGCCACTGTTGCCGTTGCCATCTAAATGGGTATTCTCCTGATGTGATTCTTCATCAACACTTCCATCGCGCGACTTCTTCTCAACATCCTTTTCACTCCTGACCTGGCTGTAGAGAGCATCTGCACTCATCTTGTGTTCTTCAGAAACATCTGCCTTATCATTTGGGTGACAATACACTTCTGCAGTATTCTCCCCCTTCCCTGAGGCCACCACATTGGCTGCCACGCCGCCAGATCCCAAATCACCTGCTGAGGCTTTAGAGGTTGTTGACTCACAAGCATCATCTTCGACCCTCGCATTTGGGCCACCGCTTACTATGCCCGTCCAATCCCCTACTTGAACCTGCTGTTGGGAACCCTTACCCTCCAATGACCGCTCCACATTCGTTGTCACGTCACCGCATTCATCAACAGGCAGATGCCTTGTCACGTCCACATTTTCGGTTACCAAGTCCACGAACGAAACCACCTTTGAAGCTACCTTCGCATTGGAGGGCAAGCCGGACGCATTACACGAGGCCCCTTCCCCTTCACTTCCTCGCTTATCCCACAGACTGGGGAGTTCTAGCCTTGCTGCTCGTCGCTTATCCTGCAGGCTATTTGCGTCGTCTTCGTGTTCCTCCTCTTCCTCTGCTACCGCCTTTTCCAAAGCCCACTGTCCTTTCCCTCCATGGCCCATGGCATTACGCCGCATGTGCTCGCGGGTCAAACTGTCTGAGTTTTCTGCTTCTAATTCCCTCCTCTCGTCCCTCTGAACAACTTTTTCTTCGACACCCTCCCTAACTACGCTGCTCGCAGCCACAGCGAGCCCCGATAGCATTTTAACAGCGTCAGATGAAATAGCACGGTTATGGTTCCTCTCTAGCCCGGGACCCTTGTACGAATGACTCGCTACGTCACTGCCCTTTCCTTCCCAAGCACCATTCCTCCTAGCTGCCTCACTCCCCTTATGTTCCTCTGCAGTTTGCAAAGCAGACGGTAGACGACCACCACCAACAGCAAACTGAAGCGCATCCGATCGCTGCCCTCGATGTTGAGGCTTCTGCGCCCGTAGATCGTCAGCCGTGGGCATAAAGATCACTGTATCATCAAAAGCATCACATGATCCATGCACCATCATTGAGGCAAGCTGCTTAGCAAGACTGCCATAGGCATCACTATCTCCCACGACCTCACCTTCCTCATCTTCCGAGCCCTGAGGTGCAGCTTCCCACCCCTGACGCTCGGCGATTTCCACACCCTGCCCACTCACATCCTCTCCTGCTGGATGCTTACCTGCAGCTTTACTTCCTGCAGTCTCAGACATATCACGTTCTTCGCTCCCGTGACCGCAGCTCTGGTCACCGTGTCTGATTGGTCGGTAACTTCCTTGAATCTCCTCCTCCTCTCTTTTCCCCTCTTTGTCATTCCCGTCTACATCCTCCTCTGCCTTATCACTATGATCGACTCTTTCGTTGCTTTGGTCATCAGAAACAGATACATCGTCCCTGCTTGCAGTCGGGCTTTCTTCGGGGTCGTGAGTGAATGGGGTCGCCACTGGAACTATTATGGAATCTACTATCATCGAATCCACGATTGTCGAATTCGGTTCCTTGGGAAACTGTGGACCCTCCAGTCTGCTGTCTGGGCGAATAGGCATGCAATTAAGCGCTTTTGGGGGGCCAACATCCTGGACAGCAAGACGTTCTGTCGATTCCATCGGGGGTTCAGTTCGCTGTCCTACTCTGCCACCACCGCCACCCATGGCTTGTGAATCCCAATCCCTTCCGCTATTTGCTTCCCCGATAGCTGCGGCAGTATTCCGCTCAGCTGCACCTCTCCTGCTCATTTCCCTCATGGCTGCCGCAACAGCATCGATTTCCCCTTTCGACGGGAAACCGTGAGGCATCATATTCGCGGCCACTCTTTGATCTACGCTTCTTTCCCTGTGGTTATCCGATGGCAATACCACACCACCATGCAGGAAACCATATCCTTGTCGACCTTTGCCGGGTTCTGTATTAGGATTTTTGGGCCCGTACGGAAACATTTGGCGAAGTTCCCTTGCTCTTTCAATGTGCCCACCAAGATGGACATGGACAGGTCGCTCAGCACCACCACTCCCATCACGTTCAAAGCCTCTCAAGGTCACATGAGGAGTGTGACCCTCCAAATTCAGAACCCGTGGTTTATAGAGTGGGGCCTTCTCGGGCGGCATCGTCACAATTGACATCGGCTTGACCCTCTGCCGTGGCGACATGGGATCAAGGCATGGATCTCCACTACCACTCCTGTCATGAAGAGGAGCCCTCTGCTTAGGACTTTGGCCTTCCTGTCCTGCTGATGGCACATAGACTCCATGTGCCGCAGGAGCAGTCTGCGGCCTCTTCGCTATGGCCGCTGTCGCTGTACCAAACGCACCACTCTCTTCTGTCCTTGGTGAATCCCTTGGGGTCCCTCTAGATGCCCCACGAACGTGCCGAGCTTGATCCTCGGTTGAAGGCCCCACTTGCATCACAATGCCATGACCTTGCTGCCGGTATGCACCCTCAGATTTGCTTGGAGACGGCAATGCACTTGACTCCCTTGAACCACCATCCTTAGCCACCGGCAGAACATCGCCCTGCTCCGGCCTGAAACCAGGTGATTGAAGGTCATCGTGCGATCCGTACTTGGGTGCCGGCGGAGGTGGTCGAAGTCTAGAAACCCCCTTTTGTGATGATGGCGCTGATGGATATGGCAGCGGCATTGGCGGATAGCCAGTTGCCATGATTGGGATCCCTTGCGCTACACCTAGACCAGGCATAGGAGGCACAAAGCTGGGCTGGGTAAAGCTTTCACTATATTCATCGTCACCAAAAGCATAGACGTAAGTGTCCCCTGGTTTGTCATCGTCCTCCACCTCTACATCCCCACTGAAAGGCAGTTGTGAATCAACATCCAGTGACTGGGGTTGTTCGAAACCGCCACATTCTTGAACTATGCTGCCACTCGCTCTGTGGCCTGGCATAATGGCGCCGTGCTGATCTGAAAGTTGTTGTCCAGCCTGTCCCGGAAAAACTGGTTTTCGATCAGCAGATACCATTGGCTGTTCATCCATAACCACCTCTCCGCTACCACTTCTCCCAACACTCTCCAACGGTTTTGAGACCTTGCCTGGATTTCGCAAATAACCATACCCTTCCACATAGATAACCTCATCTCCATTGCTGGAAACTGGCTGCCTTCCCGGCGGGAGAGCTCTGGAATCGGCAGGAGGGTTGGTCTCCCAAGCTCCCGAATGCTCTCGTCCAACACTTTCAGAGCTTCCCCTAGAATCCCGCTGCCAGACATCGGCGGCCCTGGGCTCACTTCTTGCTTCTGCAACACTACCTCTGCTCTGTTTCTCGACAAATCGACTACCGAACACTGGTTCAGCCCTGTCCCTCCCCTCCTTCCCAAACCTAGTACTCGCCGGCTGGTCCACAAAATAGCCCATCGGAACCTGCCCTCGCCCTCCTAACCTCGGACTTGCCAGCTCAGCTCGCTCTGTTGACTGCTCTGCAGCGTAGTGCATCTGATCATGTTCTCCACCCCTCGAGAGCTTTGGAACACCCTGTGAAGACCACTGTGCCCTCCTGCCAGATTGGTCCGGACTATTTGGCATGCGCGCCAGACTTTTCTCAGCCATTGCCATGTCGGATCTAGGATGCCGATGTGCAGCACTGTCACCACGAGCTTGAGTACGAGCGGAACGCCAGTCATGAGAACTGCCATCACTGTCAGGCCTCTCCTTCACCCCTGCATAAGCCCGTTGCTTCTGATAGCGTGCCCCATTGGACTCCGCGGAAGAGTTGGATGTATCCGACGACCCAGCTGCATGACCTTGCCGACCATCCTCTGCGATCCCTCCTCTCTCTATCTCTTGTTCGGTTTCCACGGACGCATCTGATGCATCAGACCTTGCAGTGCGACCTCTCCACATGAGTCGCTGTCCCGGAATAGAGCCCTCTGGGACGGCTCCTCTGCTCCCAATGATGTACTCTCTACCTCGCCGGTTTTCGCCTTCAGGCCATGGATCGGCTTCCGGAGCTTGGGATTGCATACGCGGACTGTTCACAGCCGATCTTTCGCGGCCAACTTCTCTGTCTATCAACCTTGGGTATGCGTCATTGTGACCACTGGCATTTCTCCACGACCGGGGCACATCCTCCGTCCGCACCGGTGCCACCACCATCCTTGGATGCAGCGCAACATCTCTGCCACTTACCTTCATCCCATTGCCACTTTCATAAGGCGCTTCTCGAGGTTCCGCTCCCGGCTTCCGAAAAAGCACAGACAGACCATGTACATCCACTCCATTCTGGATCAACCAGTCAATGTGTCTATTCACCTCGTCCGGGTCTGGCGTGCCCGGCATGGCCAACCAGTTCTCTTGAAACCACGCTCGAATCCGTGCCTTGAGCTCAAAATGTGGGGTAACCATGAAATGGGGCAGTTTGTTCCTTGTCCGAGGACACACCTTCTTGCCCTTTGCAAGCCACTCAGAAATATAAGCTCGTTCATACGTCTTCCCTGATGCAATCACCACTGGATCGATCATTACTCTCCGTGACAAAGGGCATTCAAACTCTGCCGGAGGAGATACGTGATGCTCCCGGCTAGTAGTCATCTCAAGCTTAGGGTCCATCACTCCATACTCCATCCCAGCCTTATTATTAGCCTGCTCAATTAAATAGAGAAACCGCTCGCACAAGTCCTGTTTGACCGAACCCAACTGTAACTCCATTTGCAATGCCTTTATCTCTAAATCCCTTGCCTCCCGTGAGTCGAGTTTCAGTCTCTTGAAAAGCCTCTCTGTCTGCTGGCCCGACTTCCTTGGTTGCTCCAGAATGCTCATGATCTCCTTGTGAGCCTTCACTTCCTCCTTATCCACAGCAATGCCCGACTTCAATTTCTTCCTCAGCCACAATGACTGTCACAGTCAAACACAGAGGATGACGAACAACAAGCTAAGAATCCCGATTCTGCAAACGAGCAGCAAGACAAATCCAGCCCTTCCTAGTCCCCCCTCCTCATCCCTGCCACATGAACGACAACTGAACGACTCCAACAACTTAAAGAACATCCTTTCCAACTGCTAGTCAGTTGGGCAAAGAAAACAAAAACAAAAAAAGTGTTAGTCAGTTGGACACTGGTCCATGTCCAGCACATCTCCACATTTTAGCTTTTCCTTCACCAGTATTATTATATAATAAGAGCTGTCTTACCAACCGGGGCACCTGGGTCACCTTGGTTGCCTGGATGGCTCAGCTGGGCAAGGCACTGTCAAGAAAAGAAAAGAAAAGAAAAAAACAATGCTGCGAACGTGCCACCGACATTCTGCGCTATGTGCGCGATGTGTGTTGCCTCCTCGTCGCCAGTTCGTGTTGAGAGTTTGTAAGACGTTTGGGTGCCGATGTGGAACATGCAATCTTACAATCTGACTTCTTCTTGGCGCAGGCTGCAACGTGACGATCTGACAGGGCTTCTGCACTTCCAACGCCGTCGGCATCGTTTCTGCCACCTATGCTGCTTTCCTTCGGCGGTGGCAGCCTTCTCCTTTGCTTGTTTGCCTGGCGTGTGTGTTGATTGTTGTGTGCAGGTGTTTCCAAGATGAGGACCGTGCTCCTCCGACGGTTTGCAGGACCTCTAACTTTCTTCCACATCCTTCTTGTCGAGGTTTTCTCCTTGTGCTGCTCTCTGAGCACTATGGCCGCGGAGGCGCTGTCTTGTATCTTGTTGGGCGTGGGACTGATGATTGCAAGGACAGGGGTAGGGTGAACTAGTATATAAGATGGCAACGCTATAGGATTGGCCACCTGTGAGTTGATGGGTTCAGGTTGTGCTTCGTAACCTCCTGATGATACCGCGTGCGGGGTAGTTGAGATGCGTAGGGGTATGGCTGCGTTGGATAGTCGGCGTTTCCGGTCTCCGGACTCCAGTCTCCAAATGAAATGCATTCCTGGACTCATTTTGTATTCACTTGTTGATGCTTTGGAGTTTTCAACACTCTTCGGTGTGCCTGATGGATTGTATGCATTGGTGTATTCATCATCTCCATTCTCATGTCATTGCTGTTTCTAGCCGAACAGTCCTGTCATTTCATCTCAGGGTCAGATGGAAATTCTTTGCCAAATTAAAAACAAAAATTAAAATAACTAACTTTTTTTAATTCACTTTTGGCCCGGGCGGGCAAGTGCCCCCCCGCCACGCTGGTAACGTAGCTAATTAATAAAATAAATCAGTCTAATAATAGTGACCCACGCTGGTAACGTGGCTAATAAGAGTAAAATAGAACAATAATAAAATAAATCTATCTAATCATAGCGACCAAAGAACGAGTGGACGAGGGGTCGAGCATACCTTGATGAACCCAGATGCTTATAAATGGGATTTGCATTCTGGAGTTCTGTATAAATGGGATTTGTCTTCCAGAAGAAGAAGAAGAAGAAGAACAGGAAGAAGAAGAAGAAGAGGAAGAAGAAGAAGAAGAAGAAGAAGAAGAAGAAGAAGAAGAAGAAGAAGAAGAAGAAGAACAGGAAGAAGAAGAAGAACAGGAAGAAGAAGAAGAAGAGCATCAGGACGATCTGCAACGGAAATCAAATAGATCGGTCGAAATGTTTTCAGGTAATAGGGGTAGAAAGATAGGGTAGTTAATGTACAGTTGACGTACACATTTCGACACAGGTTCGACGAGCACATGGCGTAGTCGGGAAGAAGAAAAAAAAAAAAAAGCCCAAGTGGCGAAGCACCTGGATCAACCGCATGGCACAGTTGCAGGTCCAGCGATTCATTCTAATCAACCCATCCATGTCTCCAAGGGAGAGAAAGGGAAAGAGAGAGAGAGAGAGAAGAAGAGCGAGAAAGAGGGAAACAGAGAGGGTGGGCGAGACCGAAACACAGAGCAAGAGAGAGAGAGAGAGAGAGAGAGAGAGAGAGAGAGAACAACGGAATACGAGGTGAAGAGGAAAGACATTAACACCTCACACCTTCTTCCTGCAATCCTCCGGAGACCTGAGGATCCGCGAACACTGATCGAGCCCCGTGACCAGGTCGTCTGTAGCCTTCTTGAAGCTAGACAACTGCTCATTCATGCGGTAAACCTGCAAGAGGAAAACCCAACCAAAAAAATTGGGAGTAGCATGTCAGTCTTCAAACACAAAAATAGGGGTACACGTCCATATACACGCATTTGTACGCTGCTCGTGTACGTGTGCATGTACCTACTCGAGGACATGCGCGTGTACATCCGTGGGCCTTTCGCTCCACTCTACCCACCAAATGCGCATATGCGCGTGTGCATCTGGGGGCCTCAAGCTCCACTCTACTCACCAAATGTGGTAAATGAGAATGAATCTTCCGCTAGAACATGGGAAGATACACCGCCACTTTCTTTTAGAACATGGGAAGATACACCACCACTTTCTTTTTGTCTTTTGTGCATCCGGTGAGTAGCGGAGCGAGGCGCCCATGTCTGGACGTATGTACGAACGCATGTACACAAACGTAGATTGCCACGATGCCATAAACCGAGGTGAAATTTTCGAAACAAACCTGAAAAAAAAGCAAAAATGAGGGACTCAAGAAACTCAGGACATCGGTTAAACGTGGCCTGGTACAGAGAAGAAGAGGGGGAGGAAGCTGCACAAGGATGCCACGCATTAATCAATAAAAATCATCCAAATTTCGTGTTATTAAAAAAAAAAAAAAAAAAAAAGGCAAGCCTCCACTGTCTGAGAGGTTTCCGCCGCCCGCCAGGGGTACCACCGTCGTCCTCAGAACACCGCGCACTCTCATCATGACCGTATCAGACTGGAAACTAAGCTTCTATACATTCACGGTAAGGGCGCGTTCTGTTCGGGGGTAGATTCCTGTCATCTTGTTAGCGCAAGTTGCAGGTGGACCCCTACCAGTAGCAGAAAACCGTGGCATCAGCATGCACAACCGTTTTGAACCGAACACAACGCCAGGTCATTATGGCCGTATCTAGACTGAAACTTGGCCAAGATACAGAGACAACAAACGATCGGCCATTCTATTCTCGTGTGAAGATGGTAGTTCATCCTTCTCAGAGCACTGGCTGTCCAATGCCCTGCCAAAACAGCGCACATCCTTCTCAGACAGTGGTGGTTCACCTTCTTCCCCCGAATAGAACGTACGGTCTCTATCGCGCTGGTTCTAGACCGAATATTGCCCCAAATACAGCTATACTGTGACGACTGCACGTTCTATTCGCAGGGAAGACGGGGGGGCAGGAAGACAGTCGTTGCCAGTCCTGACGGAAGAACAAGGATAGGTCAACCACACAAATGAGCCTGCAGCCATAAACGCGAGGTCTCCTCCTCAAGTCTGGTGCCCACGCGGACATATCATGTCTGGTTCGGAGGGAGACTTCAAATTCAATGAGAACAGGAACGGGCAGGTCCTATTAAACACCTTTTTCACTGCAGATCCTGGGGCAACATTCAGTCTGGATATCGCCACAATGACCGGGCGTTCTATTCCGGTGAAGACGGTCGGTGGCATTTCGATACAATTTCTGTACTGTCCAATTCAAGAGGTTCTTGTTGGGGCTCCTTTTTCTGGGTGGGGCTGGGGGCGGAGTGGGGGGAGAAAAGGGGGGAGAGGGGGAGGATGCCTATTTTCTGCCATTCCTTGGCAACGTTACGACCTGTCAGACCTGTACACCCGCAGTGAAGGACGGAGATTTTTTGGCGGATAGAATCTACGGTCAATATCGCTGTATCTAGACTGAAAGTTGCCTACAATACAGCTGTTAATTAATGTACATTCTATATTCGAGGGAAGCCGGCAGGATGGCGGATTCACTCCCTATCGACCTCTCCCGAACACAACGCACCCTCATCATGAATGTATACAGCCAACTTTTCTGGTCTGATACAGTCATGATAAGCGTGCGTTCTTGTGTTCCAGGGACGAACTGAAGGACAGATCATCCAAAAAGAAATAAAAGAAAAATAAAAAGTGGCACTGACTGACCTTACAGTATTCGTCAGTTGGCACTGTCATCGTCGCTGTATCTGTACTGAAAGTGGGATCTGACAGTGGTCCCCACATACAGCTATAACAACCGTGTGTTGTATTCGGGGGAAGACGGCGGCTCCCCATGTAGCCGAAGCCATCCGTACAAGATTTTGAGAGGGGGGGGAAGAAAAATAAAAAAAAAACATTCGTGCAGAAAGGCGCTGTGAGCCAATATTGGACAGACGAAACCAATATGTGCGTTCTACTCGGGAGACAGACGAAACAGTGTCGATAGGCGAAAGTTCAGTGAAATGACGAGGAAGTGTGAGCGACGACGGAAGGAAGAGGGTAAAAAAAAAAAAAAAACAAGAAAGGACAGGTGAAGGAGGGTAGATAAAACATAGAAATGAATGAATAAATCAATGAATAAATAAATAAATAAATAAATAAATAAATGGGTAGACTGTGAGGACCCCAGCCTCAATGTTGCTGATTTAAAGACTCCGTTCTGGTTTAGAGGGTTTATTAAAAAAAAAAAAGAGGGGTAATTTGCGACGTACCCCCCAAAGATGAGATATATGCTAAAATGCCCCTAAAAGACATGGGTAGAACAGAATGCCCTCTTAACCCAAAATCTTTGTGATATGCCCCTGTCAGGTGGGTGCAGAAATTTGCGTTCTGGACCGCACCCCACACGGCCAGGCCCTCACTCTTTTTCACTCGGTTTGCCCCCCTACTCGGTGGGCAACCCTACCAAATGCCGTACCGGCAGAATGGGACACCCATTCAGAACTACCACATCCCGCCAGATCAGCTTAAGACAATGAGAGAGAGAGACTCCTCTCTCTCTCTCTCTCTCTCTCTCTCTCTCTCTCTCTCTCTCTCGGATCCTTCCCACCTTCACAATCCTGCTTACACAAAATTCCACATGTATGTGAATGTATCGCCACCCAGATACATGCAGATTTATCCGACGTTTGCAATATATCTGGCCCCAATACAGTCCATAGACATGGAGAACAGAGTAATGACACAAGGCTCTCTCTCCCCCCCTCTCTCCATCTCTCTCTCACGCAGAGAGAGGGAGAGAGAGATGCTCCTGTTCACGACATTTCACGTGCACCTGGACTGTCAATCCGCCCCGGAACATTCAAGAGTGTTGGAGCATTCCGCATGTATCTGCGCGTTGATCCTTCCAGATACATGTAGAATGTGATATAATGTAGCGAGGTGCAAAGAGTGTTCAAGAGATCTGCGTGCGTTCAAAGCACTGACCCAGGGAATGCTCATACTCACACTAATACTTTCGGTAATCACGACCAGATTCATTCACTTGAAGAACATGCCATGGCACATGAACCCTTCACCAGGCAGGGCAGGATGTGCTGAGTCGTACACCAAGCGATGTTCAAAAAAAAAAAAAGAAAAAAAAAAAAAAACACGAAAAAAAAAAGAGAAGAAAGAAACAGACGCTCTGCTCCATTCGGTCCTCCACCCCACCTCCTTGGGGCTGTCCCACTCGCAAAGACGATTGGACTGAGCGCCTGAATCTCGAAGCGTGTTGAGCAGAGATGCAGAAAAGCCAATAAATCGTGGTTTTCTGCACCTGTCCACAAACACATCCGGCTTCAGGCGCTGAATCGAACCCCCTCCTCTTTGCTACCGTCTTCACCCGCATAGAACGCCCGGTCATTATAGCTGTATTTTTTGATGCAACTTTCAGTCCAGATACAGCCATAATTACCGGGCGTTCTATTCCGGTGAAGACGGTAGTGCGACGACCTCGCTGTATTTGATGCAACTTTCAGTCCAGATAC